GGCAGAGACTAATCTAGGGAAAGAGACAGCTACCTTGACACCATGCATACGGGGACTACGGGCAATTTTTGTTCGAGCCTAGAGGCTCGAACACCCCACGTAAAAAACCGGCCTTGTGCCACGTCCCGCCTTTTGTCGAGGTCTCGGGTAAAAACCAAGCCCTTTAACCCATAAATACAGCACACACACACACACACACACACACACACACACACACACACACACACACACACACATATATATATATATATATATATATATATATATATATATATCAAATATGATATTCAGGTAGCACCCGAGACGAAAGAAAAAACATATTTCGATTCGCATTATATTTTTTCGTCTCGGATGCTACCTGTATTTTACCAAAAACAAAATAATTTCCATGCCTGAAGATGACTGAATATACAGTCGAAAGTACTTACGTACTAAAGAAAGACCTTATACAACTTATAATTTTAAAGAAAGGATCATAACATTCATCGAGTGATTTGTAGGATAATGCATCTTTAAAATTTTGTTAGCGAAGGAATTTCGCCAAGTTATATTAACTTTATTAATCTACTTTTTGCATGAATGATTCATTGTAATATATATATATATATATATATATATATATATATATATATATATATTAGAACAAAAACATGTTGAAATCGCTACACAATAACTTTCGTCTTTCGGCACTACGTTCTATCTCTTCATGAAAATGATACACTGCGTGCCAAATTATTATCGAGATAACTTTTTCTAATATCTCACAAACCGTCCTATCAATTCGCACAAAATTTTCACACAATATTGGCAACAGTAACGTGCGCAATCACTATTTTCGTACTGATCTGCACAATGGAAACAAACTGGCGCCATATTTGTTATCAGCAAGGTGATTTGACCGTGCCAAATTATTAGAAAAGTGTAAGAATTTAGTGAAAAGATAGGCCGTAAATGCAGTTTAAGTGATGCCGAAAAGAAAACTATTACCTCACAACTCTCAAAAGGTAAATCTACCCTAGAAATGTCTAACATGATAGGGAGGTGTCACCAAACAGTGAAACAGTTCACCACCGACCCTACACAAGTACGCAATAGGGCAGATAAAGGCAAGCCGAGGGTTATTTCACGTCGTCTCATGTCACGACTTAAACGAGAGGCCACGAAGAACCCTGGACTTACCAGTCAAGAGCTTTTCAGTCACATTGGGGATCCTACTGTGTCTAAAAGTACTCGGTGTCGGTATCTGAGGGAAATAGCAACAACAGCCAAACCTGTATCGAAGCCTCCGTTGACGAGAAATCACATTCAAAATCGATGGAAATGGGCCGAGGACAATATGAAGATTGACTTCTCTAAAGTTTTGTTCACAGGCGAAACTCGAGCAACACTTGATGGGCCAGATAGATGGTGCAAAGTTTGGGTAATGAACGGACAGAATCGCCATCAGCGTTTGAGACGCCAACAAGGCGGTGGGGGCATAATGATCTGGGGTGGTATTATTGGAAAAACATTAGTGGGCCCATGGAGAGTACCAGATGGCGTCAAAATGATTGCTGATGCATACATAGCGTTTATGAAGGAGCATCTTGAACCGTGGATGAAAAGGCAAAGACTTGCCTTCAGAAGGACCATTGTTTTTATGCAAGATAATGCCCCCTCACATGCTGCTCAGAAGACTACTGAATATTTGAAACAGTTAGGCTTCGATGGACCTCGAAAAATGAAGGGGCCAACAAATTCTCCGGATTTGAACCCAATCAAAAACCTTTGGAACATCATGAAGCGAAGACTGTACGCCAACGGATGACAATTCAGAAGCAACGCTGAGTTATGGGAAGCAATTCTTGACATATCTCGCGGCATTACAGCAGATGACATCCTACAATTAACAAATTCTATGGATCATTGACTTCTTCAAGTAATTTCAAAACAGGGAAAGCACATTCCCTATTAATTTGTTTAAAACTGTGCCTTTGTTTGTATCTGTTTTTATTTGTTTGATTATCTTATTTATTAGGTTCTTTTGATCAAAAACATTCACGTGCAACATTAATAAACGTTTTGTTTGCTCAGTTCTGGGAATTTTACTTAACCTTTCTAATAATTTGGCACGCTTAAATCACCGTGTTGATAACAAATATAGCGCCAGTTTGTTTACATTGCGCAGATCAGTACGAAACTTTCAGTGATTGCGCAGCTCAGTGTTGCCAACATTGTGTGAAAATTTTATGTGAATTGATTGGACGGTTTTTGAAATATTAGAAAAAAGTTATTTCGATAATAATTTGGCACGCAGTGTAAGTGATTAGTGATTAAATATTTTTAAATTTCAATGCAAAGTGCTACCTCTTTTCCTAAAGATAAAGATGGGATAAGATAACACAAGGTCAGAATTAAAAATAGACTTGTGGGTTTTTCATCATCAGCCAATTAAATGCCAGATCTACGCTAAGTAGAAAATTAAGGTCTGCTTGATGTGGAGGAGTTATTTCTTTCTTGA